AAGACACATTTCTCAGATTTTGTAACATGTTCATGGTAATTTTGATTTGTCTGGTCCACAGAACCTGCAGAGGTTCCATCTCAGCCAGTTTATGCTGTTGTACAGAAGAAGCAAAATGAAAAATTGAATGATAAATCCTCAGAAGAAATATGTGATACAACATCTGCAGGTAATGTCTTGATTGCCTCAGTTGGTGCCTCACCTGTTACTTTATGTTTTATTAAATCTGTAAGGAAAAAACTGACAAAATTTAGATGTGAGATGTACATGTTGCTTAATGTCTTGACAGGAATATTTGTTACCTATAGTTGAATCAGTTAGTGTTGATAAGAGATCTTTTAACTTCCTTCCTTTTTTATTTAATGAAAGTTGCAAGAGAATAGCAGTCTATAATCTCAGGAATAAGAGAATTGAAAACTTACCATCCAATCCTCCTCACCCACCCCCCTCCTTCCTACCACCTAAAAAAGAAGAGATTAAAATTGACATAAGCTGATTAGTAACATGGTTGTAATAGTTGTAATTGCGGTAAATATTTGTGCCATTTTATGGAAATTTTACTTTTAATGAAAAGATTGTTGAAACTGAAAAAAATCAATATGCTAAGATGTAATTTTTTTGGAGTTTTTCTTGCTCTGATTTGTGCTTAGTTATTTCAGTTTCAACTAAGGTTTGATTGTTTTGACTCCAAGACTTTCAGTTGCAAAATTAAATTGGTGGTGATTGTCTTTATGCTTAACAGATATGCAGGCACCAGATAAGCCTAGGTATGCTGTGGTGCAAAATGGTTCAGTTGAATCTCTTGATCAGCTAAGAATACCAGAAGCATCTGGTGATGATGATGATGAGTCCAGTGATGAAGAGATGCCACCACCACTTCCTTCAAGGTTACCAAACCTTGAAGATACTATGAAAAGGACAGATCCTTCACAGAATACCTTCCAGTCTGATCAAGTGGAGAAATCAGAGGAAAAGCCAAAGAAGGGTGGTTTCAAATTATTTAAAAAGAAACACCACAGACAACTGTCTGATGGAAATGTAACTGCTCAATTAAAACAGGACACAGATAGCGGTGCTATTTTTTCAAGTGAAACTGAAAGGAAGCAATTTCATCATCATCGTCGATCAAAATCACATGCAGACATTATGACACTTGAAGAAACTGGAGGCAGATCATTGAGTCCTACAAACACCTTTGAAAATTACTCAGAAATAACAATTCCATCTAGTAAAGCAAGGAGTTCTGACAAAGTATCACCTGTCCAACCTTATTTGGAAGTTGACATTACTGAGCCTCCCTTGACACCTACCGATTTCAATAAAGAGAAAATATCCATGGAAGAGGATAGCGAGGATCAAAATGTTTCCTATGAGCTACCTGAGGGCTGGAGGGAAGTGAAAGGTGACAATGGTACTTATTACTGGCATGTTGCTTCTGGAACAACACAGTGGACCATGCCTCAAGTTGCAACCAGACCTAAGGTGAAGCCTTGTATGTTAATGATGCTATGTCTACGTCGTACGTTTTAACCCATGGGATGTGCACATTTTGGATTAGGTACTAGTTGACTGAGTATAAGAGGGTTGGACAGGAAAACATCTGACTGGAGGTCTTGATATATAGAGGGAGTTTAGCCACCCCCTGCTCTTTCTTTTTCCTTTCCTTTGTTTTCACCCCTTGTCTGGTTGGCCATATGGCTTTTTTTCCAGCCCTGCTCATGCCATCATGAGTGATTTTCATACATATGTATGGAAGAGAAATTTGCCTTTAGATGAAGTTCAGTTTTGAAAGCAAACATAACAGTGTACTTTATTTCATATGATTTAGAAGAAGTCAACTGAAGAAGTAAAACCAGCAGAAAGCACTGAAAGACAAAAGGTACCATTGTCCCTAAATAATGCTATGTTCAAACAGGCTGTTTACAAATTGTGAAGACTGTGGATGTACTGTGGGCTACAACTTAATATTATGTACTGTGACATAAATTTACTTCTCAGTGTAAAAAATGATCAAAGGCATGAAAGAAAGTGTAAATAGCATTTTCAGAAAAACATATTAAGTTGCTTTTAACAATTAACATTTAACACTTTCTTTCTGCTGTGTTGAAGCTAGGGAAATAAAGGGTTGTTGAATGTTTATCATTTCCTCATCACACTACCAAT